CCTCCCCCCCCCCCCCAATCCCCAGGCATACATACTTTTCTACGAATATATTTGAGAGACTGTTCAGAACAAATGGTAAATAAGAAAAGGAAACGCTGATTCAGATCGATTGTCTTAACAAAAGAAACAAAAAAAATTGAGTAATGTATGTACCAATACGACGACGAGAATTTTGTCACACTTTACGGGCACAACCCGCCGAATCAACATCGTGAAAAAAAGATGAGAATGTTACAAAATATAACCTTGTGTAACGTCATAGGGAGACGTGCTGTTTTCAATTTTCCACAACCTTTTGCCTTTAACTATATTTTAATTATGTTATTATATATATACGTATATATTTTAATTTATCTTCAACTATATTTCTAATCCGAGCGTTATTTCATTCGATTTTAAATCTACGCTTCGCCTCGTCTTCTTTAAAAGGAAGAAGTTTCTTTTTGATTTACGAAGTTTCTGAATGCTTTATAAGCATGTAATGCATGGTTTTAAAAAGTTCGAGACATTCGTAACTAAAGTTTTTCTAATTGTATGGAAATTTCATTGGAAATGTTTAAATTCGAACGAACGCGTGCGTACTGAACGAATCGCGCATGCGCGAGGTTTGCCCGCAGCCATTTATATTCGTATTGCCGTTGTCCGCCAGCCATTCGCGCTAGTTCGCGCGCTAGAAGTGGATGAGAGCGCGTCGTTCGCTTGAGCAATCAATCGTTTTAAATTGCATCACGAATTAATGAGATACATATACATGTTATTAATTATTCGGTGCGGTTATAAATCACAAGATAAAGGTACATTAATAATTGTAAAAGGTGTATCAAATGAAACTTCGGCGAAACTTGATAGGTTAACGTTATTAATTTAACCGCGACTCGTTCGAAATTATAATTTCATGTTCACGTAAGGTTTTAATAAGAAAGTGCGTGCGTCTAAATTTTAAACTAAATTCAAATCTCATTGAATTCCTGTCTACGCAAGTTAGCTACCAGCGTAAATTAAAAGTCCCTGGCGTGGACACTAGGGACACTATCTTGCAGTGTGCGTAAGCCTTTACGTTCAGTCTGTAGATACAAGATAGGGCAAAGGCAGGGACGCCGCTTTCAAAGTTATCCTTTAAGTTATTCAGTGGAAATCAATTGTTTTCTGTTGGTGCGAATTATTGGGTGATTTACCAAATCTAGACAATATTTAAAACTGACGTCTGTAAAAACATCAATCAAAATAAGCAGTTCAAAGGACATAACCATGCCACCGAAGTGTAAATTCCAAGAAGGTGAGTTTTCTCGTTTTAATTTCTCGTGCTGAAAATATCAACGCTTCAAGCAATTTTATTAATAAATAGTAATTATCGTCTTGTTAACCGTAGTCATTGCGTCGTTTAATTTGCAACAATTGTATGATTATACATAGGTGAAAAAGTCCTATGTTTTCATGGGCCATTAATTTATGAAGCAAAGTGTCTAAAGTCCTCCATTACCAAGGAGAAACAGATCAAATATTTCATTCATTATGCTGGATGGAATAAGAAGTGAGTAAAATTGTTCGATTCGAACGATTCGTAATCCAAGTAAAATTTTTATATTACACGAATAGTTGGGATGAGTGGGTTCCGGAAAGCCGAGTTCTTAAGTACAACGAGGCAAACGTGCAAAGGCAAAAGGAGGTTCAGAGAGCACATTCGAATCAACAGTCCACGCAGAAGAACAAAAAAGGCAGCACGTCTTCTAAAACTCAAGGCCGTAGAAGCGAAGGAGGCCGTGAAAAAGACACTGATAGCAGAGCTAGCACTCCTGTAGCGACTGTTGACAAAACAGTTAGCAGATTTACTAAAAGTACTAGTAGTACCGTGACGCCGTCATCTTCTCATGACTCCACTTCGGATGCTCCACGTAAAAAACGCAGGTATGTTTTATTCCTCTAATATACAAAGTATATTGTTACAATGGTTGAGCAGTATGAAGCAAGTACAATTCATTATAGCCGGATGGAGCCATGTGGTGACACTGAAGAATATCTTACCAAGGTAGAAGTTAAAATTAAGATCCCAGAAGAACTGAAATTTGTACTTATAGATGAATCAGAAGTTATATTAAAACATCATAAATTACCCGCATTGCCTGTAAAAAATACAGTCGATAAGATTTTGGACGATTACGTAGAATCAAAGTCGGCAGGAAAGAATGATTCTGTTAGGTAGATATAAACATGTATAATTATCGAAAGTTTGAAATAACTTTTTCATTATAAATTGTCACTTTCAGGGAAAGTGTACTAGAAATAACTAAAGGTATTCGCGAGTATTTCAATATATCCTTAGGCTTGCAATTATTATACAAATGGGAACGTCCACAATTTATTCAAATAATGAATGACAATCCTGAAACACTGCCCAGCCAATTATATGGAGCCTTCCATTTATTAAGGCTATTTGGTATTAAGCTTTATTAAATATATAAAGTACAATATATATGCTTAAGATAGTGCAAGATCTTATGTAATCTCTTGTTATTATTTTTACAGTGAGACTGGGTGGAATGTTATCGTATACTACATTAGATGAAAGAAGTATACAGTTGTTACTATCCCATTTCCACGATTTTCTACAATATTTACAGAAAAATAATACAGAGCTTTTTAATCTTCAACAAGATTACGCAGATTCGCCGCCAGATTATCACAGAAAATATGCTTAAGTTAGTATCAATTAGTGTATAAATTTAATTTATATGACTTATTACTTTTT